GGCTTCTTAATCTGCTTGCTAGTGAGAATTATTCCTTATGCTTCCTGACCTAACTTTGCCCTCCCCCAGCTCTTACTAAGCCATGCTGTTAATGTTTTTTTTTTTTTTTTTAATAAATATGAATCCTATCTTCTCACTCAGATAAGTAATTCCAGGACATGACTCCTGTAAGTTCGTTTTATATTTCCATAATACCTGATATTCTGTTATTTCTACTTTCAATCATCAATGATAATTATGAATGAAATTTTATGAGCTTATATGAAGTATATAGTTTAACTTATCCTTCTAAGTCAGTTGGGTATGAGACAGATTTGGGTCAATGCTGCTTTCCCATATCATATCATCTGATTCACTTAGGAAATTTCCTGTCTCCTTTTGCCTTTTAATTCACTTTCTTCCATAGTGTTGACATTGAACAGCCAGCAGATCACTGAATTCTGCATGGAAAATGCCAGTTCTATTTTTGCATTTGGTCTTGAAAAACTTGAATCATTATCATCCACTCCGAAACCCCTCTAGAAGAGGACAGGGCAGCACCTCAGCACATCTGCAACTCATAGCCAAGCAGCAGGGAAAGCAGAAAGTATTTTGCCCCTATATCATCCTAAAGGGGACAATTATTTGTATCCTAATTTGAACTGAGGTAGAATAGTGCCAGTTACCTCTACAAGGATTTTTTTTTTTTTTTTTTTTTTTTTTTTTTTGTGGTGCTGGGAATTGAACTCATGCCCTTGTGCATGCAAGGCAGGCACTCTACCAACTGAGCTAAATCCCCAGCCTCCAAGGATTCTTATAGTTTGGGAAAAAATCCTGATTTTTCTGAAACCACATACTATATTTGAAATCTCTTTTCACCACAGAATATCAGTATCATTGCTCTTGTTACTGTAATGTCACCATGGGGAACTCTGGCACTACTCACATTGAAATACTATCCATGAGGCCATGGACAAACCAGTAGTAATATTCACCCAGATGAAATTGTACTTATTATATCAGAACACTCCCATTTCTTCATAGTCTTAGAAAAAAAAAATTAAAGAGACAAAGACCTCAGGACATAGGCAACTTCCCTCTAACTGAATACCTGCATTTATGGAGGGTTGGGTAAGCAAGGCTGAAAGCAGGAAAAAGGTGGTTTGCTTGTGTTGTGCATGAGGACTCTGTGTATCAATCAGAGCCTTTCCAAAAGGAGGAAAATGCTTAATCCATTCAGTCAAATTGAGGAAAGAGGCAAAAGGCTCTAGGCTATGTATAGATTACAAATTGGCATGAGCTATACCTATTGAGTTCCTGGCTGATCTCATTTTACAGATCAATTGAGATAAAGTAAAGGAGAGGCAAAGAAAATGTAATAAGAAAAAGTAATGAGAGATTGAGATCATGACTATGATTTTTTAAAAATATTATATATATTTTTATATAACTGTAGAATGCCTGGAAAACCTCTATGAGTTAGAGAATTAGATAAAGTAGATCCCATTTTGAAAGGGACTGGAGATAACTATGATCACTGAAGTCTGGGTGTGGAGGTGAAGAGGATTATCTGAATACTGTACTGATTTTATTTGAGTTCAAGAGTGTTCTCCAGTGTCACTTTGCTCTCATGCCAAAGTGTCTCTGAGCTACGCATGAAACATGTTGTTGTCCAGAGAAACTGGTTTATGGGCCACAAGACATTGTAAGCCTTCACAAAGGAACTCTGGATAGAGACCACACATCAACACATTGGGCCTGACCATTCTGTATCCTTCTTGTGGGAAGAAGTAAAGCTGTCTATCAAAGATAGTAGAGAAAACTCATTCTCTGAAGGGCAGGAATGTGCCATTGCTTGACATCCATCCTCAGAGCTTCTCTGAAAAGAGGAAGCTGTGTTGTCTTGAGCTGTAATTGGGACTCCGGCTCTACAGAGGGTCTTTGAGAGAGATATCATCATGGTCTGCACTGGCACTGAAGGCCACCCAACTCCTCACCTTCAAAGCCTCCAAGACAGGACACATTTTACTCATCAATTCCTCCTGCACTTTACATTATAGTTACTATTCCCTTTGAGAACTTACAGAGTCTTCTGTATTAAGAGATAGGTGGATTCTACTAGTCAACTAGAGAAAACTGTAAACTGTTTGTAGAAGACCACAATCGGTCCCCTTTTTCTTCCATAATTTCTTCATCTGTGAAAAGTGAATAACAGCCCTGTCACATCTACTTCACACAGTAAAAGTGCTGCATAGGATGGAAAAGGCTATAAAAAGTCAAGGGATTATTATGGTGGTTGTTGCTATTTTTATTACACATTCCTTAGTTTCATCTAACATACAACAAAATATCTACTAAATATGCCTCAAAAGCCAGTTCACAGCCTGCGGAGGGTGTTTGCATAAAACCAAGTTAAAAAAAATCCATGTCCCTCAGCCTGAATCAGAACCTCCAAGTGAAGAGCCAGGTCACCTATATTTTTAACAAGCTCCCAGGCAATGTCGGAAGGTATAATCAGCCAGGTTTGTGACCCTTATTTGCTCCATTCTACGAAGAGACCTGTTTAGCCCTGTTTGGAGGAAGAGGCGTATGACAAACATGACTTCCATGCCTCTCAAACTTGACCAGTGGAGGTGGGTTAAAACACAGGTGACTGACAATACTTTTCTAAGAGTAGGAAGCAAAACCAGTGCTTCAGAGGGATGAACATCCCACCGAAGGACCCCTAGAGTGCGGAAAGGGCAGTAGGTGGGGAAAAAATTGGACTCACCTACAATGATACCACAAGCACTGACCAATCCGATCTCTTTCTTCAGAGCTACTCCGCCCCCTCCGGAACCGGCCTCGGGACTGGCCTCCCGCTCGCTCCCACCTGGGTGGTTCTTTTCGGTGTTATTTCGGTGTCTGGCTCCTTTTTCCATCTTTCTTGTTAGGATTTGAACCTCCAAAAGCTCTCTCTCTATTTAAATGCATGTGCGGGTAGATAGATATAGAAAGAGAGAGAGAGAGAGAGAGAGAGAGAGAGAGAGAGAGAGCCTTTCAAATTAAAACGCCCTTTTCCGAAATAGGGACCACTCCTACCCTCTAAAAAAGACAAGCAGATAAAAGGAAAAAGTAAGATAATAACTATTCTGTATTGACGCTTTCTTATCACTCCTGCTTATGACAAGGAACGTGTTGTTTAAAAAAAAAAGAAAGAAAAGAAAAGAAAAAGGAGACATAAAAATTTACATATAAAAATAGAACTGTACCAGCGACTCCAGCTGGAATTCTCCTGAAAGGGGTGTATCTTCGGAAATCAGGATGGTTCTGCTCCGTGGACCAGGCAGTGGCTTATTTCAGACGCTTCAAAAAGACAGTCGTCTGGATTTCCTCGCAGCTCTCCTCCTAACAAAACAGATTGCCTTTACCTCCCCCTTAGTCTTTTCGTTTAGGATGAGGCTAACAGTAGTTTTCATTAACTGGAGGGTGGGAAAAGGCAATCCTCAGGTACTTTCTTCTTTTTCCAGAAAGACAAAAGCTGTGGACCTGAGCGGCTTGCTCCAGATCTGCTTTCCACCTGCTGTGGGATTCTTTCCCCTTCCCGTCTTCTGCTTCCGCTTTTCCCAGATGTCCTCTCCTTTTTTTCGCTGGTCTTCTCGTCCTTTTTTCCCAGGGTCGGATCTCCGATCTTGGTGCTTACGGCACGGACTGCTCCATCGCTCCGGGTTACGGGAGAGTGGTTCCTCCACACGCGAATGTGCTTCCCTTTTAGCTAGGGGTTTTATTTGCTGACCCAGGCTCCGCCTCCACCTCCTGCGTTCCTCTCCATCCTCAGTCCCTTGTCCTCCCTCCTCTTCAATTTAAATATTAGCACAGAGCACACCGCGCCCCGCCCCCCAGGATCTCTGACAAAATGGATTAAAACATTTCTCTTTGTAATCGGGTCTTTCTCCTTGTAATTAAGTGGAAGTAAAATCCTTTCGCATCAACTGCTCCGGGAGAGCTCAGTAACCAGTATTGCAAATAGGTCGTACAGCATTTGTGAGCTTTGTAAAATAAAGGAACAGTGGTGCCCATGCTTTTAATGCCATCAGAAATGAACTGGCCAATGTATTGAAATATTTAGGTCTGGATCATTGGAGGATAAAGGAGAGAAGATTGTAGGGATAACATCTTTAAGAGTCGTTTCTTGAAATTAGGAGGAATCCATGGGTGGGGGAGGAGAGTAGAAGGAATTAAAGATAATGCAAAAATTTCATTTAGTGTTATTGTGAACTATAAAGGGGGGGGGGACCAAAATCACCAGGAAGAGGTGGCCTCACTGCTCACAACTCTTATTTAGGTACTGAAACATAAAAGCTATGACTCTGAGCCTGGTGTCACACTTTCCAATATTTTTATGTCTGTAAGTTATTTGAAAAGTAGACATGGGAATGATCAGACCCTCACTACTCAGGAAGCAGATTGACAGACATTGAGAGATGACTAACATTACCATATTGATATTATATCTCTACTTTCCTGAAGAATTTCACTCAAAACTGTTGCTTTACCACGGAAGCAGTGATGTCTATTTCCAATTGTAAAATACTAAAAAAAAAAAAAAAAGTATGAAGCAATGTAGCAGACAATACTATAAGTTTAAAGTTATTGTGGAATCCTATTAAGTATATTATGAACAATTATTTTATTTAAAAATGGGTCTAAAAAATAAAAATTCCTAAATGAAACAATTTACTACAGAAACTTAGACTTTTTGGAAAATGTTCCAAAAGATTTGGGGTTTTAAGGAAAACATACTTTTTATTCTTTAAATTGGGGTTGGATGAGCTATTGTACCAAAAGCTTTTCCAAATGGGGTAAAGTCCGACAGCAATCTTCTTTTCAGTCTGCTCCTTGATCACTCAGCAAGTACTAAGATGTTTCAAAGGTTAAAATTTCACCCTTCTCCTTCTGCTGGTTCAAGATATAGCAATTTGAAAACCTCAGCAAAAAAAGAAAGAAAGAAAGAAAGAAAGAAAGAAAGAAAGAAAGAAAGAAAGAAAGAAAAAAAGTGTGGGTGGTGTATAAAGGATTTTCAACAAAAAGAACAGACAAGGCAGGAATATATAGCACAAAACTCTGTGGGAGAGAATGAGTCATGGAAAATTAAAAAATTTGAATTGCCTCTGGCCTTTCCTGACAACCTTAGAAAGCACTGAGGAAAAAAATTGATGGATTCATTTTTAAACAATCCTATTTGAAGACTTCTGCTCAGATTTCAACATCAAGGGATAAAACAATCTTTCTACTTCTCAAACGTGAGTTCTTCTAGTAATGCTTGTAGTTCTAATTTAAATAGTTTAGACTGACTATGGGATAAAATACAAGTATGATGAATTTGAAGTCTCTTGCTAAAACAAGTGCAAAATGACAGTGGGACTATAAGCTTTAGCCCTCTATTTCTGAATTATGAAGCTAAAGGTGGTTGTGAGATCAAATGCATTTCTGGGATACAATGTAGCACCAAACTGGTTGTTGAGGATTAATATTTCTATTTTTGTAGCGCTTGGAATTTATAAGTAACTTGACAGTCTATTAATGGTGTAGTTTAAAAGCTAGGAAAGGAATCTCTCATCCTTCAAAGGGACCATTCATAGTGTGTGCCTCTGTTTAGGTTGGGATCTTTTTGTGTCAAAATTTCATGAGACTTAACATTGCATACATGTGAGAAAGAAAAGTCTTGGTGTAATATGTTGAGAAATAGCTGTAAAAAATGATTAATTGAAATTATTACATTTTGAGCACTGAATTCTTTTTCATCTATGTTCATTTTATATTTATATTTGTATTTTTATTTTACTCTACATTTATATATGCATGTATGTATGTGTTTATTCATTTCTGGTACTGGGGGTTGAACCCAGGAGTGCTTTGTCACTGAGATCTATTCCCATCCCTTTTTAGTTTTTGAGACAGGGTCTCACTAAGTTACTAAGGGCCTAAGTTGCTGAGACTGGCCTGCAACTTGTAACCATCCTGCCACAGTCCAAGTTCCTGGGATTACAGGTATGTGCAACTACACCTGGCTTATTCTACATTTAAACAGTGCTCTGTAGTCTATAAACCATTTTGAACAATATCTCATTTCCCCCTCCTCATTAAATATCTTGGGTAGACAAAAACAGTTTTTTTTTTTAAATATTTTTATTAGCTGTTGATGGATTTTATTTATCTATTTATTTATTTATATGTGGTACTGAGAATCAAACCCAGTGCCTCACACATGCTAGGACAGCGCTCTGCCATTGAGCCACAACCCTAGTCCCCCAAAACAATATTTTAATGATTTATTTTTTATTTTTGTGGTGTTAGGGAGTGAACCCAGGGCCTCACACATGCTAGGCAAACACTCCACCACTGAAGTAAAACCCCATACCCTATTGTATAGAGTTTAAAGATTAGGTAACTGAGGTTTCAAGAAGTGTCTTACCTGGGGTCAAAGACCAGACACTTAATCTCTTCATGGGCAAGCAGGAGATCAGTGGTTTACACTGATTATTTTTTTTCAGGGCACTATAGCTCAACTTCTTTCACCCTATGGAAATAGAAGATTTTTGAGTATTACCTGGGCCCCTGTCATGTTTTCTAGAGTTGGTGTCATAGCTGGGCCCATTAGAGATCCACCTTGATGCCAACATTTTTGTGAAATGAGACCAACTGGACTTAACCTGGGCCCTCTACATTTGTCACCTTTTTTTTTTTTTTCATTTTTAGCTGTAGATGGACACAATACCTTTATTTTGTTATTTCATTTTTTTGTTTCGTTTTTTAATGTGGTGCTGGGGATTGAAGCCAAGTGCCTTATGCATGCTAGGCAAGCGCTATACCACTGAGCCACAAACCCAGCCCCCATTTGTCACCTTTTTGACACAGTCCCTGGCTGGTCTATATCCTAAGAACTTAGTACAACTGTTTCCAGCACCTAAATGACTACTCCCATTGTTTTGCAGGCTTAAACTAGGAAGAAATTGATCCCTTTAACTTGGAAAAAGGTGGATGATGGAAGGGTCGTTTTCTTACTGTGTGGATTTAGGCAGAGAAAGGCTGTATGTGACTGACACCTACTGCACAAAAAGGGAGATGGCATGGAACTTGCTACTAGTGATAGTTAAACAAAAACACTGTCATGCTCCAGTATTCTCTTTTTGAAACAACACATAAAAAGTATCTGTTAATGTGAAAGAACAGAGCACAGAGCCCACTGCATTCCTGTTTTTTTTTTTTTCTCCAAAATCTGGGTCAAATAGACAGTACATTATTCTTGTTCTTTGTAACAAGAGTCTGAGGCCACTCAGGACCCAAACATCTCCCTGGAACCAACTCACAGCCCATGTTCCCACTCCATTCTTCTTCTTGTATCTGTATGTCTAAAATCAGAAGAAAACCCTTTTTAAAAAAAATATTATTTATTTTTAGTTTTTCGGCAGACACAACATCTTTGTTTGTATGTGGTGCTGAGGATCAAACCTGGGCCGCACGCATGCCAGGCGATGCGCTACCACTTGAGCCACATCCCCAGCCCCAGAAAACCCTTTTTAAAAATAAAGCCTATGGTCCCCAAGATGATAGCTTCCTGAGCCAGTGGTTCTAGGAGATTTTATGTCATTTGAAAATGGAAAAAAAAAACCAGATGAAAATTCATGAGAAAGAAGAAGAAAGCAAAAAAGAGAAAAAGACAAAAAGGTCAGAAAAAAAGGAGGATGGAATGAGAAGACTCAGTTAACAAGACTCAGTTTGCCTGCTGGACATATTCATAAGTTCAAAGCAAAGTTGTATATTCTAGGGTTTAATGCAGTCCTGAGAATTTGGATGGAGCAGACTTTATTTTGTTATGATGGTTAATTACTTCATGCTTTTCTGGATATAATGATGAATCCTTGCTTTGACATTATAGACAAAAATTCCAGCAGATTATCCCTCTGTCTGCTGCACTTGGCTGGAATCCATAGAGTCAACTCAGTACTAGTGGGAAAGAAATATAGATACACTCTCCATAGTAGGCTGCACACCTCCTTGACTTCTTTTCTGGGTCCAATCTTTCATGGGGCATTAATATTCTTTCTAAGGATTTACGTGACTGTAGTCTTAAGTATTTTTTTTCTTTCTTTCTTTTTCTCTTTTCTATTTATTTATTTATTTATTTATTTATTTATGGTACTGGGGATTAAACTCAGGGGCACTTTATACTGAACCACACCCCCAGACCTTTTTATTTTATTTATTTTGAGACAGGGTCTCACAAAATTGCTTAGGTCCTCCCTAATTTACTGAGGCTGGTCTCAAACTTGCATTCCTCCTGCCTCAACCTCCTGAGTCACTAGGATTACAGGTGTGCACCACAATGCTCACCTAGTTCTGAGTACTTAATATGAAAACTTCCACTTTGTAATTGGTTTTTATTATGTTTACCCAAGATGAATGCTCATATCTTTTAAGATGCGGGAGATAAATTCCTCGAGGGTATAGACCTGCTTTCTTCCTTGTAACCTGAGTCCCTAAGAATTTGGATGGATACCTAAAACAGTGTCTGGAGCTTAATTAATAGAATATGAATAAATGATGATGTACATTAATGCATAATAAATTAATTAAATAATTACAGACTGGTTAATGTGCCAGGTAATGGTAGTAACATGTAGACCTCAGAGTCTGGACAGGGAGGCTGGATTATAGAAAAAGGAGAAAATACAGTCAAGGTTTTAACTTTGACCACTATTTCATGTGGAGTACAGATCTCTGTTCCTTTCTTTCTCCCTCCCTCCCTCTCTCTCTCTTTGAATATTTATTTTTTATTAAATTAATTAATTTTTTTGGCACTGAGGATTGAACCTAAGGAGTACTTCATGACTGAACTAAATCCCCAGCCATTTTTAGTTTTAATTTTGAGACAAGATCTCACTAAATTGCCCAGACTGGCCTCAAATTTGCAATTCTCCTCCCTTAACCTCTTGAGCAGCTGGGATTACATGTACCACTACCCCACATGAGCAAGATTTCAAGTAGGCCCTCAACATTGTGGTAGCTAATTCACACTTACATTTACCTTCTCCTCTATTTATTTATTTATAAATACTTTATTTATTTAAATAGTTGTAGTTGGACACAATACCTTTATTTTTTATTTTTATGTGGTGCTGAGTATCGAACCCAGCGCCCTACACGTGCCAGGCGAGCGTGCTATCGTTGAGCCCCAGCCCAACACAAGCTTCTCCTCTTTTTAAACCAACACTACTCTTCTCCCAAATCTTTACTTCCATAACTAAATGCAATGGTTTGGCATCTTGTTTAGTGCAAAACCAAAAGCACTACCAGGAGATAAAAGAGTGGAGAAACTTTTATTATTTGCAGGAAGTAAGGAGAGCACTGGGGTTATTTGCAAAGAATGTTCCCGCTGAACAAAGAAGTCCTGGGGATTTTATTGGGGAGCCTGAACATGTCCATATAGGAAAACCCATGCAGGCACTGGCACATTTCTTAGCATGCTCAGTTCAAGGTCATCCACCATGTGTTTAAAAAGAGAAAATAGCTGGCACCATGGCTTGTGCCTGTAATCTAAGCTACTTATGAAGCTAAGACAGGAGGAATCCAAGTTGGAGGCAAGTCTTGGCAACTTAGTAAGACCACATCTCAGAATAAAAAACAAAAAGGATTGGGGACATAACTAAGGGGTAGAGCACCCTAGAGTTCAATACTTGTGATGGGGGAAAAAAAAGATGACAGAAAAATGCTTCTGGGTAGGCTCAGTTCAGTATTTGAATGAGCCAAGTTTACTCTAGGTTGTCTAAAAGAATGTGTCAAGTTGACTTGATGACCTTGGCTGGTTCCTCCTAAGTCTTTCCAAGAGTTAGCTGAAACAAAAAGAAAGAACAATTTTCTTATAAAGGGACTGCTGCTCCCCCTACTCCCAGAAGCATAGGAGTTTGCCCCTAAAGTTGCCTGGCTCGCTTAGTGGCTAACACTTTCAGTTGACATCCTTGGTTATTATTTCATGGAAAATATAGGAACAGACAGAAGAGAACTTCTACATCCACTGTCCTCTAAATCTCTTAATCTGCCCGTGACTGCCCATGTACTCTGCTCTCTCCACTGAAATAAATGTGTCATCTGTGCTTTTATGTATCTCCCCGCATGTGCTCCACCTTCCCTACCCTATCTCCTTGCTCAGGGTCTTTGGTCCTAGAATTGTTCCTCTTTGCTGCATCATCTATTTTTCACTCTTCACTGGATTGTTCCTATCAGCATAGAAACATGCTGTAATCCCTCCTACTAAAAAATGAAACAAGGGGCTGGGGATGTGGCTCAAGCGGTAGTGCGCTCGCCTGGCATGCGTGCGGCCTGGGTTCGATCCTCAGCACCACATACAAATAAAGATGTTGTGTCCGCCGAAAACTAAAAAAAAATAAATATTAAAATTATCTCTCTCTCTTTCTCTCTCTCTCTCTTAAAAAAAGCATACAAAATTAAAATAAACATTAAAAAAAATAAAATAAACTTAAAGCTCATGTCAGCACCCCCAAAGACATGACTACAGACTCCTGTTCTCTCTTGTCTTCTCAATGTAGCTAGATTGATTAAATTCTTTCCTATTTCATCATTATTAAAAAAAAAATGAAACAAAACAATCAGGACTTCCCTTTACTCCTTGTTCCTTTCCAGCTACCACCCAACTTTTTTTGCTCCTCTGTTTCCTCTTCCTTAACCTCCGTTCATGCTTGGGCCCACTGCACCAAAGCTTTTGTCCCCATTACCTGGCAGAAGCCGTTCTTGAAAATACCACCAATAGCCACCATATGGTCCAATCTGGAGATCACTTCTCAGTCTTCATTTTACTGATTTCACAGCAGCATGTGGCCATTTGATAGCTCCAGAGCTCCCAGCTTTTCTCAATTTCACTAACCTCCTCGAAGGCTTCTCACAGTCTCCTTTTTCTCTTCTGGACCTCTCCTCTTCCCTATCTTCCTCACTAGCTGGTGATCAATCCTTTTAATTTAATTTGTTTATTTTTG